GGGAAACTAATGGGACGCGGGGAGATGACTTAAAAGTCCAGAACAGATGGAACAATGCGGGGGATCCTGGGATTTGTGTCTTTCTGTTTGCGTGTCCCTGGGCCCCTTCAGAGGGGAGGGGCGCGGGGCGGGACGCCATGGAGGGAATTCGCAGCCTTGCGCTGGCGGCCCTGCAAGCCGCGCCCGCCCCCGCCCCCCGAGGCCGGCAAGGGCCACTGGAGGGACGGGTGGTCCGAGCAGAAGAAGGATTTGTGTTGCCCTGGCAGGCGAGGAGGACGAGCGAGCATCAGACACGAGAGGGGGATTCGAAGACCAAGGGCCAGAAATACATTGTTGGCGTTTGTTGAACACTCACTACTGAAGACTAATTATTGCTGATCCCCCTCTGGTACACATTGTATGTTTTCCATTGAAGTGCCCCTCCTTGCGCTCGCACCCGATTTTTTATCACGGAAAGTCTTGCGGCTCAAATTGTGCCTTTGGTTGTTTACAACAACAACGGTTCCCGCTTGATATTACCTCGAAATTTACTCTGGTCCCCCGCTCCCGCTTGAGACTGCCTCGCAATTAACTCCAGAATCGCGCTTCCGCCTGAGACCTCCTCGCAATTTACTCAGGCGCCGCGCTCTTGCCATTCAGGAATCGCGCGTTCGTTGAGAACTTCTTCAAATTTGCTTAGGAATCGCTCTCTCGCTGGAAACTTCTTGGTTAACCGCGCAAAACTCACGATCGATCCGCCCGCTCGGCCCGCCCGTCAGGGTCATGCCCTTCGCGCCCCATGCTCGCTCGCGCCAAGTGTGCCTCATTGCTGCCCTTGGTGGCCCCTCCCCTTGTGGCCCAGACGCTGCCCTTCGTGGCCCCAATGCTGCCCTTGTGGCACATAGATGCGCCCTTCGTGGCCCCTAGTCGCTCGTGCCCTCAGTGGCCCCAATGCTGCCCTTCGTGGCCCCAGTGTAGCCCCGTGTGCCTCCCCCCCGCTGCCCTCAAGGTGGCACCTTCGTTGCTCTTTGTGGTTCATAGATTCGCCCTTCGTGGCCCCCAGTCCCTCGTGCCCTCAGTGGCTCCATTGCTGCCCTTCGTGACCCTGCTCCCCTCGCTGCTCTTTGTGGCCCATATATTCGCCCTGCGTGGCCCTCAGCGGCCCCATTGCTGACTTTCGCGTCCCAGGCGTAGGCCATTCGTGGCCCATATATACGCCCGTCGTGGCCCCCAGTCGCTTGTGCCCTCAGTGGCCCCATTGCTGCCCTTCGTAGCCCCCTCGCTGCTCTTTGTGGCCCATATACATATAACGGCGCACCGGGTCCGGGGGCCCGGGGCCGGGACCCCGACCGCAAATGTGTGCCCCGGGGGGCCCGGAGGCTCGTCGGACCGCCGGACGCCGTCCAAGATCGTTCGCAGGCGGCTTCGGAACCCGCTCCGATGGCTCCAGATGCCTTCCAAGACGCCTGTCATGACACCAAGAAGGTCCCAGAAGCCTCCAAGACGCTCCGAGAGGCAGCCCAAGAGAGGCCCAAGAAGCAAAAATCGTGCCATTCCTATGGGAAAACGTATATTTTCGCATGTTCGCCTCTTGGGCTTTCACCGCGTCCAAGACGGCCCAAGAGGCGCCCAAGACGGTCTACGAGGCCTCCTGGAGCGCTCCAAGGCTGCGCACGAGTGGCCCCAAGACGGCCGAAGAGAGCCCCAAGACGAGTTCGAGAGGGGTCCCAGACGGAGAAAGCCAACCTCGAATTCCGAGCTTCCGGCCCAAGAGGCTCCAGGAGGCGCCAAAATGCCGCCAAGAGGCGCCAAAAGGCTCCCAAAAGCACCCCAAGACGTTCCGAGAGGCACCCCAAGAGAGGTCCAAGAAACAAAAGTCGTGCCATTCCTATGGGAAACATATATATATAGAGAGAGAGAGAGAGAGAGAGAGAGAGAGAGAGAGAGAGAGAGAGAGAGAGAGAGAGAGAGATATATACGTATAACGCCGCACCGGGCCCGCGGGCCCCGGGGCCGCAGCCCCGACCGCAAACGGGGGGACGTCGGGCCCAGCCCGCTCCCCGGCGGGCCCCAGGTCGCCCCCCGGAGCGCCCAGACGGCCGTCCAGGCGGCTTCAGGCCGCCCACAGCCACCCTGAAGACAACCTCCAGCGGTCTCCGGCGGCTCAAGAGGCGTCTCGAACCGCCCCAGACCGCCCCAGACGCCTCCAAGACGCTCGAAGACCCCTCCAAGAGACCCCAGACGGCCCTGGGAAGCAAAAATAGCCCCGCGCCCGTCGTAAAACGTACATTTTTACCATATTCGATTTTTTGGCGTTCGTACCGTCCTTTACGACCTCCGACTCTCCATAGACCGCCCCAAGACGGCCCACGAAGCCCACAAGAGAGCCCCAAGACGGCCCCAGAGGGGCCCCGGACAATCCAAGAGGCGCCCAGGACGGCCCAAACGCGTCCCCGAAGGGCCCCAAGAGGGGCCCAAGAGGGGACACCCAACTGAACCTTCCAGCCCCCCCGCCCCAGGAGGCCCCCAAGAGGCCCCTAAGAGACTCCCAAGAGGCCCAAAGAGGCCCCCAAGACGCCCGCGGCAGGCCCCCAAGGGCTTCCAGAGGCCCCCCCAAGAGGCTTCCAAGAGGCACCCCGAGGTTCGCCGGAAGCCCCCAGGAGACCCCCAAGAGGGCCCCAACGGGCTTCTGAGAGGCTTCCCCAGACACCTTCATGTACGTCTACATGTGCCCTCCGGTCCAAAAACCTGAGACCGTTCCTGGGACGCCGCCTGATTGGCACATGTTTTCTTTGTCTCTGTCAATGGGTGGAGCGGCAGCGACCCATGTCGCTGGGTCCGGGGGAGCAGGCCCGGGGCCCGAAAATTTGGCGAGAAGGGCTTGCACGAACAGATTTTTAGAGACCACCTGCCCGTGGAACTGGCGACGCTGGGTGGCTTCATAGTTTCACAGTGCCTGGCGGCGGCAGCGTCGGCGCTTACTTTTCCTGCCCATGCACCTCTCTTTTCGGGGCCAGGGCCCGCTGTTGGGGGCGGCCACACAGGTCCCAGGCCGATCAGACAGCCGTCCCGACGGACCAAGACTGCCCCGAGCTGCCCTGAAGACGGCTTCCAGAGGTTCCAGACGGCCCAAGAAGGTTCAAACAGCAGCCCGGCGAGTGCTCCGAGAGGCCAAATTTAGATATTTTCCTTTCGTTTTTGACGGATTTCGGGCTTCCAACGCTCCCAGACGGGTCAAGAGGTTCCCCAGACCGCCGTCAAGGCGGCTCTAGAGGGGAGGCGTCCACGACGATCCAAGACCAATCCAAGAGGACCCGCAAGAGTGCTCCATCCCCTCAGGAATACTTCCACTTTTTAGTGTATTATTTTTTTTGCTTTAACGCAGTCGAAGACAACCCCAGAGATCTCCAAAAACGCCCACAGACTGCCCATGAGGCTCTCAAGAGTGCCCCTAGACGGCTCAAGAGGGCCCCAAGATGGACCAAGAAAACCCGAAGACGGCCCAAGAGGGCCCCAGGATGGAGGGGTAATACGCGCTGCTATTTGGAACCCTCTGCCCAAAAATGACCCCCGAGGCCGCCTATAGGTGCCCAACAGGGCAGGCCGAAAGAGGCCCCTGGGAGGCCCAAAAGAAAACACAAAGAGGCTCCAAAGAGACCCCAGAAGGACTCCGGGAAACCTCCAGGAGACTCCGAAGAGGCTCCAATTGGGCTCCGAGAGACTTTGAAAGAGACCTGGGCCCCAAGATGCCCCAACATGGTTGGTAAGCTATCACAGCGTGAGGAGACAACACGAAAACGGTCTGGGCACGTCCAGCAGGACCCGAGACGGCTCAAGAGAGTTCCTGCTTCTGCCAGATGTCTTTCTGCCTCCTGTTTGTCTTTCCTCGTCCCGCCTGCACGTGCTCCGCCAGCAGGCGTGACAGCGCGTGCATGCCGTTTCAAGGCGGCTTTCTCTCCGTGCTCCGTTACCGCTCCTTCGTCCTGCACATGCTCCGCCAGTTGGCGTGTCAGCGCGTGCATTTTATAGCACGGCTGTGTTCCTCCTTCGTCCGTCTTTCTTCGATCTTCCTGCAAGTGCTCCACCACCCGGCGTGACAGCGCGTGCATTATGTGTTAAGGCAGTTTGTTCTCCGTCCTCTGAGTTTCTTCTGCACGTGCTCCGCCAGCTGGCGTGGCAGCGCGTGCATTTTATTTCAGGGCAGTTTTCGTCTCGTCCTCCGTCATTCCTCGTCCCTCCCGCACATGTTCGGCAAGACAAGCCAAGGACATGTGACGACATCCAAAGACCAGCAACCTACGGCCTCGACATTTCATCATAAAGCCAGTCAATGCCCCAAGCCTGTTCAGCGATCTCCTCGACGAACCCACAAGCCAAGACCTGCGCGTCGTGACAACGAAGAGGCAACCCTGGACGGCGCCATCGGGGCCACAAACACCTGCCCCCCCCACAAGAGCGCCTGAAAAGCCCAAAAGCCAGCCCAAGGGAGCCCTGCGACATCCCATAACCGGCCCACGACGGATACAACTCCTCTCCGATTGCGAGTCGCCTGGAAACCCCGACCTCCGTTTCATCACAGCGCCATGGGCTGGACTAGAACCTAAGCGCGCGCGAAGCGCGCGTGTTTCTAGTACATATATATATATACACGCCCTTCGTGGCCCCCAGTCGCTCGTGCCCTCAGTGGCCCCATTGCTGCCCTTCGTGGCCCCAGTGTAGCCCCGTGTGCATCCCCCCCCGCTGCCCTCAAGGGGGCCCCCTCGCTGCTCCTTGTGGCCCATCTATTCGCCCTTTGTGGCCCCCAGTCGCTCGTGCCCTCAGTGACCTCATTGCTGACCTTCGTGTCCCCGGCGTAGGCTCTTTGTGGCCCATCTATATTTATACTATATATACGCCCGTCGTGCCCCCCAGTCGCTTGTGCTCTCAGTGGCCCCATTGCTGGCTGCCCTTCGTGGCCCCGCTGCTGCCCTCAGTGGCCCCCTCGCTGCTCTCTGTAGCCCATAGATACGCCCTTTGTGGCCCCCAGTCGCTCGTGCCCTCAGTGGCCTCATTGCTGCCCTTCGTGGCCCCAGTGTAGCCCCGTGTGCCCCCCCCCCTGCCCACTGTGGCCCCCTCTGCGCCTTATGGACCGTATGTTAGCCTACCGTGGCCCCCAGTTGCTCGTGCCCTCAGTGGCCCGATTGCTGCCCCTCGTGGCCCCAGCGTAACTCTCTCCCTCTCCCAAATGTCTCTCTCTCTCTCTCTCTCCTTTCTCACTCTTCTTGCTCTTTCAGGGACTGCGCCCAATACAAGTGGCAGGTATGACAGATGTACACCCCAGAGGGGGTACGATCGAAGACGAAGGGGGCGGATATCAGGGGTTTGGGGTATACGTGGTGAGGTACGCGCGAACGGATAAGAGCGAACATATTCAACATGGTTGTTGTTGTTATTGTCATTGTTGCTGTTACTGCTGCTATTATTTCTTTCTCTAGGGATGCAAGGCAAGGGGCGATGAATCACGCTGGCGCGAGGGGTATCAGGTGGAGCAGGCATCAGCCATCTCGCGAGGCGGAAGCAGTGATGATTCGCGCATCGATGACGTGACCAGTGGACAACATTTGCGAGTTGCAGAGGCGGTCTGACGACGGCAGACACCGTGTTACAGCTAGCCTCTCTAGATTGCGTGGCGTACACAAACACTTGAATTTGGGCTGCGGGACAGGATGATAGTGAACAGAGGGTAACACATGATGTACCATGACAGTTGGCAGCAGTCACGCCTGCATATGCGGCCAGTTGGTACGCGCGGAATTTGGCCTCCCACAGCTTCTCGGCGGAACTTCTCCTCCGTCTGCACGTGGGACGCGGGCATGAGAGGAATATTGGCGTTAGTGAAAGAAGTCTGGCTGGGTTTGTCCATGCCTTCGGCTGGCTGGCAGCGAAGGATTGGCCGTATCTTAGCGGAAGGGCAGGGCGAATCCTGCGCCGTTGGTGCCCGTGTAAATCAATCCATGGGCTGGGCAGGTGCGGATTTTCCTGGGTTGGGCGTCGCTCGCAAAGTCAGGTGTGACGTCTGCGTCGGCGTCAAGTTGGCCCTCGGCCGGGGCGGGGGCTGCGGGTCGGGTGGGGCGCTGTGCTTGGCTCGGGGCTCCCTGTGCAGTGGTGTTCGGCGTCCCGGGTGTCCAGGAGGGCACCCTTTCATTGCATTTTCCCCCAGATATGAACCCCCCAACCCCCCAGACTGCAGTGATTCGGACGGGGCCAGGACGAGGATTCATCCGTTCCAGAGAGTTCCGCAACGCTCTCAGAGCGTTCCCGAACGCTCTGGGGATGCCGCCGCACCCGATGCGTCCCCCAGATCCGCCGGATCTTAGAGATAGTCGATTTATCCGTACCCGATTCTATCTTCGTCCTCGCTTCGTCTTCTCGGGGGCGGCCAAGAGTGGGGTGATGGCTAGGGGGGATCGATATCATGGCGGGGGCCATGATATCTCCCCAGATTTCATGGCCCCCCCCTTCTTATTTCAATACGTCCCTGGCGCCCCCCTGGGTCGCGCACTTGCCTCGGGCCATGATTTGCACGCACACCTCTTGGATGCCCCCGATCGTAGTGCGGCGGCGAGCGAGGAGGGGAAGTGAGAAGAAGGTCTTCTCAGGAGGCTCGGAAGTCCCCCGGCCTTCTGAGAAGTTCTCTAAGCCTTCCCCGAAGACAGACAACAGGCTTCTCGGAGCGGCGCGAGGGCTTCTGAGAAGTCCCGCCGCCCTGTGAGAAGGCCTCCTCCTCCGCACTTCCCCCCTGCGCTCGCCGCCGATCCTCAGTGGTCCTCCCTGGGATCCTCCTCCTCCTGAACAAGGGTCGGGATGGACGGTCTCCCCCGGGGCCGTAGGCGACCCGTGGAGGAGGTGGAGGAGGAGGCGGAGGAGGAGGAGCAAGACGAGGAGCAGGAGGAAGAGAAGGAGGAGGAGGAGGAGGCGGAGGAGGAGGAGGAGGAGGAAGAGGAGGAGGAGGAGGCGGAGGAGGAGGAGGAGGAGGAAGAGGAGGAGGAGGAAGAGGAGGAGGAGGAGGGCCCTAAAAACATATATCACCCTCATCTGCCTGGGGGCGCCCGGCGGCACGGCGCCAGGCCGGGCGTGACGGTGGGCCTCTCGCTGCCCGCCCTGGCGGTCCAGCTCGACTTCGCTGGCTTCCGACTCCTCCGCCTCCTCCGCCTCCTCCTCCTCCTCCTCCTCCTTCTCCTCCTCCTCCTCCTCCGCCTCCTCGTCCTCCTCCTTCTCCTCCTCCTCCTCCTCCTCCTCCTCCCCTCCCTCCTTGTCTTCCTCACCTCTCTTGTGAGAGGTTTCCTGTGTCGGGGGTGGACAGACCTCCCACCCTGACACGTCGATTAAGGAATTGGCCGTTTTCGGTTCGCGAGAGGGCGTCGCGGCCGTCCTTTTTGCAGGTCCAGGTCCGTCGGTTTCGGTCCCAGGCCGTTTTCACTAGGAGGAGGTCTACTAAAGGGAGGTCTGTCCACCGCCCGGGGCTCACGTCCATGGCTCTAGGCCTCCAAGATGGGGTCGGAGTAGATTGGGTCGGAGGATCGCGCCGCATCGCCGATGCATCGGCGATGCATCGGTGATGCGGCGCGATGTGGGGCCAGATTCCTCCACGCTGACGTCGCGGATGCATCGTCGATGTCGCCGAGGCGTCGCCGGTGCATCACCGATGCATCGCCGATTCCCCCGGGGCTCACGTCCATGGCTCCGATGCGGTCCGGCTCGACTTTGCTGGCGTTTCCGACTCCGATTCTCTAGGCCTCCTAGATGGGGTCGGAGTAGATGGGGTCGGAGGATCGCGCTGCATCGTCGATGCATCGCCGATGCGGCTCGATGTGCAGCCCGACTTGCTCCACGTCGACGTCGCCGATGCCTCGCCCACGTCAACGATGCATCGCCGGTGCATCGCTGATGCATCGCCGATATGGGTACGGAAAGAATTGGTACAATGCCCAACAGCAGTTTCTGTCCTCTTTGAACCGGACTCGCTGTCCGCTCCGCCGCGGCCTGTGTCCGTTCGAGACAGGAGGCCGCCCGCCCAACAGCGGTCGCTGATGGTTTGGGACAACATTTGTTGTTGGGCATTGTACCCATTCTTTCTGTACCCATTTCGGGCGTCCAAAGTCCATGGCTCCGATGCGGTCTGGCTCGACTTCGCTGGCTTCCGACTCCGATTCGCTTCGGCTCGGGCTTCCTCTCTGGGCTCCGAGTCCGCAATCCAGGCTTATTATCTGCACGAACGAAATGGGCACGGAAAGAATGGGTACGATGCCCAACAGCAGTTCCTGTTCATCTTGAACAGGACTCGCTGTCCGCGCCGCCGCGGCCCGTGTCCATTCGAGACAGAAGGCCGTTTGCCCAACAGCGGCCGCTGTTGGTTTGGGAGAACATTTGTTGTTGGGCATTGTACCCATTCTTTCCGTACCCATTTCGGGCGTCCAAATCCGATACGGTCTGGCTCGACTTCGCTGGCTTCCGACTCCGATTTGCTTCGGCTCGGGCTTCCGCTCTGGGCTCCGAGTCCTCAATCCAGGCCTATTAGTCGGGCGAAGAGCACTCTGCACATGCACCGATCCTGGCCAGGCCCCTCCTGGGCCCCAGGATCGGTGCATATGCCTTCCTGGCCAGGGCAGGAGGGCGTATGCACCGATCCTGGGCTCAGGATGGGCCTGGCCGATGTCCGCCGATTCGACTTCTCCCGGCTCACGGGCGAGCGCAAACATGGATCAAGGGGGCGCGGATTAAGGGCGGGTCCCGCTTCCAGGGGGAATCGCGATTTCCCGCCGCCGAACGAGGCGGCACCCGCCGCATTTTGGGGAGGGCCCCCCCCCCGATCCATGGATTTGGCGACCGCGCGCCAAATCCATGGATCGCTAATGCATTTTTGCGCGCCCCCGAGACTCGGCTGCCGATTCCCGCCGATCCGAGTCGTGGCGATCGCCGGTGCGATGCGTCGATGCGCTACCGGGGGCCTTCCTGCCCTCGGCGAGGGCGCCCCCCCGCAGCAGAGAGCGGCAGGAGTGGTGCTGCAGCCAGGGGAGCTCCGCGGGCTGCGGCGGCGACGGCGGCCGCCAGGCGAGGGGAGGAGGGGGGGGGGGCAGGGCAGGGAAGGGCGGGGGGCAGAAGCTCCGCGGCGAGCGAGGGGTGGAAACGAGAACCAGGGGCGGCCAAGAGGGGGTGCAGACAAGGGGAGGGGGGGGGATATCATGGTCCGGGCCGTGATGTTTCATCAGATTTCCGGGCGCCGCTTCTTATTCCATTACCCGCCGGTTGCTGAAAGTAGGTATTTCTGGATTCGCAGATCCCAATCTATTTCTAGCGCCTTCCTACTCCAAGAATCGACACGCTTTTGTTGTGTTTTGCTGTTCTCTGGGGGGACCTGTACCCAGTCCACTATATCCGCCTTCCTACTTCATGTTTCTACCTACTTCTTCCGACCGACGTGTACGTCCCTGCCCCCTCCCCCCCGGGTCGCGCACGTGCCGCCGGGGAGGATGGGGGGGCAGGGAAGAGCCGATGGGCACGTTTTTCCACCACCAGTACCGCATGCAGGACGGGGGAGGAGGGGTGATGAGGAGGTCCTCCTCCTCCTCCTCCTCCTCCTCGTCCTCCTCCTCTTTCTTCTTCCCCTCCTCCTCCTCCTCCTGCTCCTCCTCCTCCTCCTCCTCCTCCTGCTCCTCCTCCTCCTCCTCCACCTCCTCCTCCTCGTCCTCCTCCTCTTTCTTCTTCCCCTCCTCCTCCTCCCTCATCCTCCCTCACGCTCCCTCTCCTCCCTCTCTTACCTATGGTAGTGATGGTGGAAAGTGGGCCCGCCAAGAGCGGGGGAGCAGAAGCCCCGCGGCGAGCGAAGGGTGGAAATGGTGGAAATGAGAAGTGCAGCGGAGGTCCTCCTCCCTCCTCCCTCCTCGCTCCTCCCTCCTCCCTCCTCCCTCCTCCTCCTCCCTCTCCCTCCTCCCTCTTCCCTCCTCCGCCCTCCTCCCTCCTCCCTCCTCCCTGTCTTGTGTTCTCGAAGTCGAACAGACACGCCGTTTACAGAAAGCGTTGGCGTTCCGCCCGGATTTCTTGCAGCCGCGCTCGGGACCCCCGGCGGTGCCTCCGGCGCCGCCCCCGGCGCGCTCCGCGCGCCAGGGAGGGGGTGCTAGCACAGATCCAAGAAATCCGCGCGGATTTCTAACAGTTTATGATCATGCCGTCTTTGCGTCCTCTATTCCCAGAAGGCGGCGGGGCTGCTCAGAAGCCCTCGCGCCTTCTGAGAAGGTTTCCGTCTGTCTTCGGGGAAGGCTGAGAGATCTTCTCAGAAGGCCGGGGGACTCTTCGAGCCTTCTGAGAAGGCCTTCTCCTTCTCATTTCTCCCCCTCGCTCGCCGCCGACAGGTTACGTTGAATCTTTTGGAGACCTCGCCTGTCCCCCAAATTGGTGTCCTTTCTTGTGCCCGACGCGGGCTGGATGCGAACTCGTTGCGGACTTGGCGTGGATTCGATGCGGATTCGACACGGATCGATACGGATCGACGCACATCCGATGAGTCCGACGTGGTTTCGACACGGATTTGACGCGGATGGGACCACGACGGGACAGACAAGGTCCTTCGAGGATATAACAAAACGGAAGGAGGGGTACAGTCGGATTGAGGTATAAGATCGAGGTCGGTTCGGGGAGCGGAAGGTACTCGGACATTCTTCATGCGTGTTGGATGTTCTCGTGCATCCTGTGGGAGACACTCTCGAATATTCTTCAGTATGGGCGGGCGGCGGGTTTCGTGTTATTGAGGCATGTCTGATGGGCAGATTGTCTAACATCACTACCATACTTAGGATTGGGAAGGAGGAGGAGCGGCTAGGAGGAGGAGGAGGAGGAGGAGGAGGAGGAGGAGGAGGGAGAGGAGAAGGAGAGGAGGAGGAGGAGGAGGAGGACCTCCCCATCAATGTCCTTCTGTCCTGGGTCCGACTGTCGGGGAGCAGGTGCAGGAGACAGGGTAGAGGGGTAGCAGGACGGCGGTGCGCCATATCTGACATCCCACCCCTTTTCCAATTGCGCCGAACTCTCGTGATCATAGATGACACTGATCATCAAGATGCCCCCAAAGTGTGATGCGCAATCCGACAATTGGGGGCAGACACTGGACGGGGAGGAGGAAGCTGCAGATGGTCAGGAGGATCAGCAGGGCGAAATACACTGTGATGAGGAAGGGGAATGAGGAGGTGGAAGAGCAGCGGGAGCTGGAGCAGGAGGAGTAGGCGGAGGAGCAGGAGCAGAAGGGCCAGGAAAAGGCGGAGGCGTGCAAATTGAGAGGGTCGGCAACGACGAGGAGCGAACCGGATTCAGAAAGTGCGGCCCGCGCCGGGGGGGCGAGCGCAGAGCTGAACGACGGGAGCAGCGTGCCGATCCTGGAATCCAGCCAGCACTGCAACGGGTAGTCTATTCGCTTGGCATCGCTCGGACGTGTGCATGTTTCCGTTGGCGAGAACCATCGAGGAGCATCCTTGATCATTTGGCGAAAAAACCACACCAAACCGAAAAAAACACAGGGAATGGACGTCCGAGCGATGGCCAGTGGTTGCAGCATCAGAAGCGGTCTACGGTTGAACGACACCTAAGACATGCCATCTTGGCAGATCTGCGTGGGAGATTCCACCTGGCAGCAGCCATCAGCCGTGGATTTTGAAGGCCGCGTGATGGGGGGGGCGATAGTGGACGGTGGGGGGGGAGGCAGCGAGGGCTGCCGAAAAGGGGCCCTTTGAGGGGGCCCCCGGGGGGGGCCCTTTCGGGCCAAGAAGGGGGCCTTGAGGGCCCCGGAAGGCGCCCCAGGAGGGCTCAGAAGGGGGGCCTCCTGGGGCCCGAAAAGAGCGCCTTTCTCGCCTCGCCCGCCCATACATTCAGTAGGGGAGAAGACCAGCGAGGAGGTCATCGGAACACGCTAGTACTCATACGGCTTGGTTGCTCCCCCACACGTTCGGGGAGGCCTCGCCAGAGCGAGAGAGGGGCATCGGAACACCATGCAATTTACACGGTTCCGCGTCTCTCACGCCCCACGAGGCATGTTTTGCCAGAGCGAGGAGAGCTTCGTAGGTCTAGCTAAAAGCACGGCGGTCCGCTGGATCGCGCTTCCGAGGCCAATGATGTTGATATGCGAGTACCTTCACGCACACTGGAGCAGTAGAGAGCAAAAGTGAGAAACAAACTGAGACACCGCCATCCTATTCCATTCCCTCCTCCGCCTGTCCCCCTCCTCCCTACTACCCCTACTCCTCCACCTCCTCCTCCCTCGTCCTCCTTCTGCCTCCTCCTCGTTCACCCTTCCTCGCCCGACCGCCCGGGTCCTAGACAAGGACTCCTTCAACCACCGCCGCGGGGGGGGGGCCGCCCTCCAGCGAGGGGAGGGGGGAGAAGAAGAAGGAGTGGGGTGAGGAGGAGGAGGAGGAGGAGGAGGAGGAGGAGGAGGAGGAGGAAGAGGAGGAGGAGGAGGAGGAGGAGGAGGAGGAGGAGGAAGAGAAGGAGGTACTGGAGTTGTTGGTTCGCGGACCGCTGCCCAGGCCCCATCAAAGGCCCCAACGATAGCAAAAACAAGATCCCTACGAGGGCTTCGAGTAGGAGAGGAGGAGGGAGGAAGGGATGGAGGGAGGGAGGGAGAAGGACAAGCTAGGTGCGCTCGCGTCATATCTGACATCATACCCCTCCCTCTCATCCCCTACCATGGCGTAGAGCCTTTCTCTACTCGCACAGTCGGATGTCGAGCAGGGCAACGATCCCGAAAGGGTACGCGATGCATTGTAGAGCACGGCGTGGCATGGCGGAGAAGAGCACCGCAAAGTGTAGTATGTCACAGCATGGCGTGGCGTGGCGTAGTGAATAATTGCATCACAAAGCTTTGCAACGCAAAGCATGGCATCGCACAGCGGCCCCGAACATAACATTACATAACATGGCGTTGAAGATCAAAGCGTAGCATGGCATAACACGACGTGGCACTTAAACACTGCATATCACAGCTTCAGCTGAAGGCGTGGCATCGCGCAACGGAACGCAACCTAGCATTGCATTGCATGCCGTGGCATGGCACGGGAAACGACGCCAACGCTGCAGCGGGAACACGATTCGGAACGAGCGGAAGCGCGGTAATGAGGCCAGCGCTGCAGCGGGAACACGATTCGGAACGAGCGGAAACACGGAAATGAGGCCAGCGCTGCAGCGGGAGCACGATTCGGAACGAGCGTGGCCCGAAAATGAGGCCTGCGCCTCAGCGAGAGCAGTATTTTGAAAAGCATGCAGGCGAAAACCCAACTCCGGGGAATCTTGTGTGTAAAAAACAGTACGCGGGGGGGGGGCGAACTCTCCCAACCCGTCATCAGGGGAAGGAGGAGAGTAGTATTCATATTGAGTTAGTTGAGGAAAGGGGATTTTATGTTGCGCCAGAGGCGACCGCAACGGCCATGGGAAGGTAAAACAGAGCGCCCTACAACATATACTAATATCGAAAACGACCTGGTGTTGAACGGAAGGGCTGGGAACTTTAATTACATGTATTGAGTTCTTGTGAAGATAAATTCACGCATCCATTTATGAAACCACTTGGACATGAAGAACACATGTTTCCCAATACGTTCCGAGGGGACCATTTTTGGGAACTCAGGGCGCTCTTTTTTACCTTCCCAGTGAGCTCTTCTCTGGCTTGGGCAATCTTGGGGCACTCGAAGAGGCGATGTTGGAGGTCATTTTTGTGGTGTCCACGGGCAACCTTGGGGCGCATCATATCCTGCTGAAAGTGCGCGCTCCATGGTCCAGCTACTTTGGGTGACGAAGGCCGGCAGCGTGCCGCGCTGCTGCTTGGTCAGCTCGACTGAGCTGAGGGCGGCGCGGAGGGCTGAAACATCAAGCTGCTCGCCATGCTGTCCCATCTTGATGGAAGCCTGCACTGCTAACTTGTCGTGCCAGGCAGCCTCGAGTTCCTTGGCAATGTAGGCCGGGGAAGGTCCTGGCTGGGGATACGCAAGGCTTGTAGGAGTCACAAAACGGCACTGACCCTGAAACGATTACCCTGGCCAACGAGGGGGCCTCCGCGCTGAGGGGGCCCCTACAGGAGCCCCAGGCGTTGGAAACTCTCGGCGTAACTGCCTCGCCCGAGAGGCTGATCTGTTGCTGGCTGGCCACGGCCGCATCGGGGCGGGCGGTGGCCTCCCAGACAAGACGGTGCCACACAAGCGCGGGCCCGAGGCCCGCGTTCCACAGGGGGCCCCGGAGGATGAGGAGCGAGAGAGCGCGGCTCCTCGAGGCACACCTAGGACCTGCTGTAGCTAAATATTGAGTTTGGGCCTGCGCGAGCATCGTGTTGCTGATGCCCGTGACCTCAACTCCGAACGTGGTGGCCTTTGCGAGGCCAGTGTTGAGCAGCGTCTTACCGTTGCCTCCAGCATGTTTGATATGGGCCATGCGTTTCCTGATCTTGTTAATGCGCCCCACCAACTTTCGTCCTTTTCGCCAGCGCCTCTGGGCCCGTCCGGCCCCGCTTTCCATACCGACGTTGGGTCCTGAGATCTCCGTGGAGGGCCCAGCGAGCGCCCCGAGGGTCTTCCGAAACTGGTTTTGGAGGTCCTGGCTGGAGGCTAGATAAAACCAGGCTCTTCTTGGTAGCGGTCTGGCACTTTAAACAAGGGATTGGTGCATCTGTCGAGCGACCGAGCAGCCACATTCACTTGATTGGTCACTACTTCATAGCTCTTAGCATGGCACTGCAGCGGCAAATCGGTGATGCACTTCGCGAGGCGAATGTAGCTGTGTGCGGCTGTCCACTGGTCGAGGGGAACGATAACATACATTTGCAGTTGATACGTCACCCACCCGCACCCTGCAATCAAACCCCTTCCACGCTTTGCCGACATTAATTAACACACGCATCCTGCGTCGCAGCGAAAGTGGACTTCCATATTGAGAGAGAATGATGCGGAGCAGGCACCGCGGGAGGCCAGGGGTGACTGCGCGTTAGGCAAGGCACTCGCGACCTCTATGCTCGTAATAGTTAGAGAGGCCCCATAACACTTGAGCGGGATGTTGGGGTTTCTCTTGACCTTTTTATGGTATTCACATTCAAGTGACTGTGCATATACAGGTTTCTTCATTGAATGCCCCGCCTGATGTGCAATACATGGTCGTCTGTGGTGGCAGTCCCAGTCTCTGGCCGCTGACCTCCGCAGTCGGGCCCCGACGCGACACAGGGCGGGGAGCTTGCCAATCGACCGACAGGCGGGCTGGGCATTCATACAATCAGGTTGCTTCAAGTTGAGCAGAAGCGTAGATATTGCACCCTGCAGCTGCGATGGCATGTGCCCCATCTGCTCGATAAGCTCAATCATCTTACAAACTAGCTCGGCTTGCTCGCCATCGAGCATGGCAGAATGGCGCGGGCGCACTCCGTCCCAGGTTGAGGCCGTACTGTGTGGAAAGCTTCTGGCTACCTTTCGAAGGCGAGCTGGGGCGATGGGTCCAAGGGCCGCCCTGTCGTCGGTCTGGGGAACCCAGTGTGGGGGAGCCTCAATGTGAAGATCCCAAATCTGGGCGAGTCGGTCGGTCTCGACCTGGGGGGCGCGCTGCGGGCGCCCCGAAAACTGCTGGCGATGCACAACCGAAACAGATTTCGAAGCTTCGAGCTCCTTCGCCCACCTGTGCGCCCGTCCCGTACTTCCCTTCATGGAAGACTGCGCCCAATCCCGCCATTCCTGTCCGTCCTTACTGCGCTCGGTGGCAAGTTCAGCATCGATGATCTTGCCGACTTGCTCGAGTAGCGCATCTAAAATCGCGATGCCCAACTCTGCGTTGAGCCTCTGCGCTTGTAAACCCTCATGCAACAGTCCTGCGGCAGCGCGAACTTCCTGCAGCCCTTGGGCAAGGGCAAAGGAGGCGTTGCAACTTGCAGGGCTGTCTTCCAGATTGTCCAGGGTGCCCTGGAAGTCTTGGAGATCCTCCCCCTGGGTGCTAAGCCGAAAATCTTGCAGCCGATTTTGGAGCCAACGCAGAGGCCTGGAGTAGGCTGTCCAGTCATTGCGCCCCTGGGAACCCTTCGCACTCGCCGAGGCCACGTGGACCTGGGGGGGGGGGGGTAGTGTGGGCCTTGGGAGTCTTGCTGGGTCTAAGGGGGTGTCCGTTGTCACGCAGAGAGAGAGAGAGAGAGAGAGAGAGAGAGAGAGAGAGAGAGAGAGAGAGTGTGTGTGTGTGCTCAAGGTCCTGGACGAGGGTGAAGTACGCGTGGCCCAGGATCGCGGGGCGCTGCTGGTCGGAGAGGGGCTGCGAGGCATCTCCGAGAAGCTGGATAGCACGCCCTATCACTGCAGCTGTCTGATGCCAACTGACCGACGGGAGCTGAGGCCCAATGGGCGCCCTAATGGGGCGCTTCTGGGGCCCGAGGAGCGTCGGTATCTTGGAATTGCCCTGCGCGCGCAGGGCCGCGGTGACGGGGCGGCGGGGGGCCAACGGGTAGGAGGTCAAGGCGCAGGGGGGTTCCAGCCAGGGCCCCCAAGCTTGGCCGTGGATAAAGAAATCGAGGGTCGACTTCGTCTTCTTAGTGCGGTAGGTGGCGGCTTTTGGGCGCCGCTGCCTTCATCGCGGCACGCGTGAGGAAATCAGTGCCCTGCTGAAGCCTCTCTGGCTGCAGATCGAAATCACCTGCAACCGTGGGGGGCTTGCCTGCTAGATCTTCGGTCTGGCCGATGGCGGCCAGCATATTGAAATTGGTCTCGTTGAGACCCGAGGACGCCTGAAAGTACGCGCTCGCCAGGCCGAAAGCTGGGGCCCCTGGCGCTTCGACGACAACTCCAGCGAGTCTGGAGCTGTCAGTCCCTGGAGGAAATTGCAGCGGCCGAGCCCCGAAACCCATGCCATCCCGAACTAAAACCGCCACCCCGAGACAAGCTCGCCCGAGGGTTGCGGACGGCAGGCGACGCGTGAGCAAGCCAGCCTCGTGCGAAGCACCATTGCATCTGGCGAATGATACTGCCCCCTGCTTCAAGCCTGCACTCCTGAGCGCAGGTGGAAGTTAAATTGCGCGAAGTGCTGGACTCTACGGAGCATTTCACTGCTCCCCAGCACAACCCGTTGATCGCGGCGAACGTGCAGGCGCTGTCAAAGCGACGGCGGTGGAGACGGCGGTGAAGACGCTGATGCCGCACCGGCAGTCCCCGTTGAAGCTGCCGCTGCTGCTGCTGCTGCTGCCGCCGCCTTGGCCCGCTTGGCCCCAGGGCCCCCCTGGCCTTGCATCTCGGCCACGCCGCTGGCAACGGCCTGGAGGGCCGACGCCGCGCGCACCGGGGACTTGGTCTGGTCCATCTCGTCTGCTCCCGCTTCGAGCTCCGCGTCGTTCGGGCGCGGCGCGTTCTCGCCTGTGGCCGCGGCGCCCGCCGCCGCGGCAGCGCCGGTGGGCTGCGTCGGCGGCGCGTCGCCGCTGGCAGCATTGCCTGCGGCAGCGGGCTTTCCCTCAGCAGCCTCGCCGACGCTCGGGAAGCCGTTGTCCACCCTCGGCCTCCGCGCAGCTTCCTGGGACTGCACGCGCTGAGTCGCGAGGCCGTCGAAATGGGTCGCGAGCATGGCCACCTTCGAGCAGAGGTCGGGCGGCGGCCTGCTGCCAGGCGGCATGCGCGCCGCGAGGAACCCCTGCAAGGTCGATAATGGGTCCTCGTCCTTGGTGGCCGCTTGCATGGCAGCCTGCTCTTGGCCATGTTGCACTGGCTCTCGAGGTTCTGGATATCTTGCTGCGTGTTCTTGGCCTCCGTGACGAGCTTGGAGTGCCTATCGGTGGCGTCCAGGATGACTTCAACGAGCTGCTTGAGTTCCAATGTTTGCGATACATACTTCTGGCGTTGGGTCTCCAAGTGTTCCGAGAGAGATTGCGCCTGCTGGCCCAACGACTTCGAAACCAAGACTGATGCTCTGGCCTGCTTGAGCTTGCCCAACATCGCAGTGTGCTCCTCGCCCTCGGGCTTCCACTTCTTCCAGAATGTGGCCTGCGCCTGCGCCAGAGCCACTGGATATTCTGCTTGTGGCTGCGGTTCATCTCCTTCTGCGAACGAGACTGCGCCTGGCCGTCGGAGACCTGAAGGGCGACTGGGCCCCCGAGAGCGGCCACGTCCACGCCAGCGGCCAGGCTTGTCACGGTGCGGCTCAGGCGGAGGCTGGAGACCTGGTCCTGCCTCGCCCGCGGCACCGAGGTTGCTGGCGGTACTGCCACGGGTGCCTCCAGACTGGTCATGCTGCTGGTGCTGCTGCTTGAAGCGGCCACCGCATTGAGCACAATGCTTAGCACCAGTAGAACACCAAGTCCAGCCTTCACAGCCGCGGCGATTGCACGTGATGAATTTCTGCTGCTTGGCCATCGCGACTTGTGATCCCTGCGCTTCGCGGACGCGCACAAAAGGGAGCGAAAGCAGACTTCGTGATCGCGGTGCCGAAAAAGCCGCGGGGCGCCCGCTCGAGCCCCAGCGCCCAGGGGCTTACCTGGACGGCAATGCTATCGCCCTGCACCTCCAGCGGTGCAATCAGGACTTGAGCCAGGAGGAGGAGGAGGAGGAGGAGGAGGAGGAGGAGGAGGAGGAGGAGGAGGAGGAGCTTGCCGTGCCGGGGGGAGGAGGAGGAGGAGGAGGAGGAGGAGGAGGAGGGAGGAGGAGGAGGAGGAGGAGGAGGAGGAGGAGCTTGCCGTGCCGGTGCGGCGAGCCGCACGAGTGGAGACTCCCTTTGCCCGTGCCCGCGACGCTCCCCGAGGCCGTGGAGACTCCCTTTGCCCGTGCCCGCGACGCTCCCCGAGGCCGTGTTCCGCTTCGTGGGCTTCGGCGACGCCCGTGAGGCGCGCCGCGCGCGCGGGCGTGCCCAGCAGAGGGGGAGGAGGAGGACAAGGAGGAGGAGGAGGAGGAGGACGAGGATGAGGAGGAGGACAATGAGGAGGAGGAGGAGGAGGAGGAGGAGGAGGAGGAGGAGGAGGAGGAGGAGGAGGAGGAGGTCGAAGAAAAAACAGCAGGCGATCGCAGACATGTATCAAGGGGGGCGTGTATTAGCGACGGGTCCCGTTTCCATGGGAAGTCGCGGATTTCTGCCGCCGAGCGAGGCGGCACCAACCGCATGTTGGGGAGGGCACTTCCCCTGATCCATGGATTTGGCGATCGCGCGCCAAGTCCATAGATCGCTCATCCATGTTTGCGCGCCCCGGAAAGAAGGAACAACGCCACATACCTAAACTGTTGGCTTTCCGCGCAGGTTTTTTGATCCGCGCTGGAACCCCCAGCGGCGCCCCCAGCGCCGCCCCTGCCGCGCTCCGCGCGCCAGGGAGGGGGGCCCAGCGCAGATCCAAGAAATCTGCGCGGGCCGTCGAACGCTTATGTTTGTGATGTTTTTCTTCTAGGTGGACGGCGAAGGCGGGAGGATGAGGGGAAGGGGAGGAGGAGGAGCGAGGATCAAAATGTGGAGCGGGAGTCCCACACCGACTGACGAAGGCATATCATTGAGCATGTATCATAACAAGCGCAAGCGAGTCAACCCTCGTCTGAGAGATCAGCCCCCTTGCGCTTGCTCCTGTCAAGGACTCGCTGCCCAAGCTCCTCAGCTTGGGCGCGGGATGAGAGGCCAAAACGCGCAAGACCTCGGACGAGGTCGACACCGACCCTCTCAGCAGCAGGGACGGGGCCAAGCTTGGGCACACCTTCCAGGTGTTAATGTCCAGGCCAGCAAGATGTGCGAAATGAGTGCGTCGTTGGAGGATGGGGCTTGGACGAGAAGGGCGGAGGAAGACGTTGAAGACGAGGACTGTGAGAACCAACAAGAAAAGGTCTGACTAAGCGGAGACCTAGAACAAGCCGGGGATGTCTCAAAGGCGTCCGCATAAGATGACAGGATGGTTGAGGAGAGCAGGCAAATCAAGGAGGCCCGGAGGTCAAGCGCCGATGGTGATCTAGAGTCGGAAGGCGAAATCAGACGAGGATCGGAAGGCCAAGGGTGCGGGAATGGTAGTTGCGAGTTTGCATGTGAGTAGTTCGGGGGCCGGGGGCCATCGCGACCGTGCAGCAGGTCGAGGAGTTTGCTGCTGGGGCTGCCGCACCGCGGAGTATCCCGAGGAGGCACAGCCCAGGAGCCCGTCGGATCGGGCTGGCGATCGTGAGGCGCGCCGTGTGGTCTGAGTGTAACCAGCTCGTCGCGGGGCGGGCGTTCTGAAGGAGAGGAAGGGGGATCAAGTCAGGAAGGGAAAAAGCACACAGACACAATTAATCGTGGATTCCCAGGAAAAGATAGGAAAATATGGGAAGTGGGGGGGGGGAAGGCGAAAACCGAGAAAATATCAGAAACTATGGGGGAATCTTGTTATTTGTGGAAAAACACTGAAACCAGGAAGGTAATTATCACTTAACTCCGAAGTTAAGTGATTTTCTCATTTTGTATTCATACCACCTTCACGACGACTTACCTCCGCAGTTAAGTCACTCTATGAGTGCTGCTTCCACCCGGCCGCAAAATCACTTAACTCCGGAGTTAATTGATTCCGCGGGCCGCCCCTGCTCTTCATTCTGCCCGGGAAAAAGCGAAAATTGAGGGTTGCAAAGGGGAAGGACAGGGAAGGAAAAGGGTTGGAAAAAGGAAAGAAAAAGGGAAGGAAAAGGGAGGGAAAAGAGAGGGAAACAGGGAGGGAAAAGAGAGGGAAACAGGGAGGGTAAAGGGAGGGAAAAGACAGGGAACAAGGGAGGGAAAAGAGGTCGAAAAAGGGAGGGAAAGGGAAGGAAAAGGGAGGGAAAAAGGAGGGAAAAGAAAGGGAAAAAAGGATGGACAAAGGGATGGACCAAATTATGGGAAAGGGCAAGGACAGGGGGGAAAAGGGAAGGAAGGGGAGGGAAAAGGGGGGAAAAGGGAGGGAAATGAAAAGAAAAAGGGAGGGAAAGGAAAAGGAAAGAAAAAGGGAGGGAACAGGGAAGGAAAAGGGAAGGAAAAGGGAAGGATAGGGGGGGGGGAAAGGGAAAGAAAAGGGAAGGATAGGGGGGGAAGGGAGGGAAACGGAAGGAAAAGGCAGGGAAAAGGGCGGGAAGGACAGGGGAGGAAAAGGAAGGGAACAGATATGGAACAAGTAACGGGAAAGAGAGGGAAAAGGGAAAAGGAAGGGAAAATGGCAGGGAAAACGGTAGGGAAAGGAAGGAAAAGGAAGGGAAAACGGTAGGGAAAGGACGGACAAGGAAGGGAAACGGGAGGGAACATGTACGAAAAAGGATAGAAAATGGAAGGATTGGGGAGGAAACGGGAGGGAAAAGAAATAAACAACGGGAGGGATAAGGAAGTTAAAAGGAATATAACATATAAAGAAAAAGGAAAGGAAAAGGGACGGAAAAGGCAGGGAAAAAGGGAAGGACAATGGGAGGGAAAAAAGGAGGGATAGGATAGGGGACGGAAAGAAAACAGGGAGGGAAAATGGAAGGACATGGGGAGGAAAAGCGATGGAAAATTGAAAAAGGGAGGGGAAAGGGAGAGAAAATGGATAGGAAAAAGGGGGACAAGGGAGGCCCCGACAGAGCGGGCAGGGCATTGGAATACCATACTATGTACACCGTTTCGCACCCGCCCCTCCGGACCCCCAAGAATTCTCAGATACTCCTGAGGGGTATCCTGCGGGTTCCAAAGGATCCCCGATGATTCCTAAGGGAACCCTCAGGATTCCCAGCGGTTCCTCAGGGGGCCGTGAGGATTCCGAAGGTTCCTCAGGGGGTCGTCGGGATCCCCGAGGGATTCCTACAGATTCCTGGGGATCCGAAGGATTCCGACGGGATTCCTAAGGACCCATTCGGATTCCGAGGAGATTCCGAAGGATTCCTAAAGAATTACTACGAGGTTTCTCTGGATTCTTGAGATTTCTAAAGTCCTGGATTCCGCATGCCGCGTTCCTGGATTTCAGATTTCCTACAGTTCGGGGCTTCTATAGATTCTTTGATTTCTATGGGTCCCAGGAAATCTTCGAGTTTCAACGATTCCTGGGTTCCTGGCGTCTAGGCTTTTCCTCAATTTCTGGATTCTGGTCTTTCCATTTCCAGGATTTGCAGGAATTCCATGGAAATCCTTCCGTGACGGCTCGGGAAGCCCGCCGTCTTTCCAACGTTTTTCCGCCGCCCCCCGCCGCCTTTCCGCCTTTCCGCCGTCGTTGCGCCACCCTTCCGCCACCCTTCCGCCGCCCTTCCGCCGCCCTTCACCCACCCTTCCGCCGCCATTTCCGCTGTCCTTCCGCAACCTTTCCGCCGCCCTTCCGCCGCCCTTCCGCCCTGCCGCCGCACTTCCGCCGCGCCCTTCCGCCGCGCTTCCGCCGCCCTTCCGCCACCCTTCCGCCGCCCTTCCGCCGTCCTTCCGCCACCTTTCCTCCGCCCTCCGCCTGGGCAGACCTCAATGGTACTCAAGGTAGTGGCCGCCTCCTCCATCGCACTTCATAGCGTATCATAGCATGGCACTGCATAGCATATTAAAGCATAGCATTGCGTAGCCATGGCAGAGCAAAGCACTGCATAACATTGCATCATAGCATCGCGTTGCACTGCATAGCACGTCATATCATCGCATAGCATCGCATGTCATATCATAGCATGGCAATTAATTGGTTTTTGAGGCATAGCATTGCGTAGCATCGCAGATCACAGCATAGCACTGCATAGCAGATACGCGCATGTTTGAAGTATCGCGCCTATGGGGAGACGGAAAAGGATGAGGAGGAGGAGGAAGAGGAGGAGGAGGAGGAGGAGGAGGAGGAGGAGGAGGAGGAGAAGAGAGGAGGAGGGGGAGAGGGAGGAGGAGGAGGAGGAGGAGAGGAGGAGAGAGGGGAGGAGAGAGGAGAGAGGAGGAGGAGGGAGGAGGAGGAGGAGGAGGAGGAGAGGAGGAGGAGGAGGAGGAGGATGAGGAGGAGGAGGATACAGGAGGAAAGAGGAGGAGCAGGGAGGAGGAGGGGGAGGGGGAACGAGGAGGAGAGAGGAGGAGGAGAGGGGGAAAGAGGAGGAGTAGAGAATATATGGTCCAGGGCTTGGGCCCCCCCCCCAATGCTAATACCATCGGGTCCCCCCCCCCCGCGCGATCCTGTTGGCGTTGCGTGGTGGCCCTCCCCCTGTGGAGGTGGTGGCCCCCCTGTGGACGACACCGACGACGACGACGACGAAGACGACGACGACGACGACGACGACGACGACGCGGCGGCACGGGCGCCGGCGACGACGACGACAGCGTCAGTCGGGAGCCCTGAGACGGGGGTCAATGCAGACGGGGGTCAGCCAGGGCGCCAGATCCTGCAGGATCCTGCGAAGACCCCCTCTGGCTGACCCGGGTTAGGGAAGCCGCTCGTGGCCGCGAGGCGGCCGCACACATATTTACTGACCCGGGTTTGCGAAGATCTGCGTTGCATTTTTTTTCCTGCATTGCAGTTTTTGGTTTCCTGCTGACCCGCGTCTGGATTGACCCGGGTCAGAAGACCCCCAGCATCGGCATCGGCATCGGCATATGCATCGCCGTCCCAGGCATGACGTAAAACTGCTACACTTGACGGAGGGGAGGTGCCAAGCTGTAATCGTGCATAACAGCCGTAATCAGTTTGGGCTGGCCTCTTCCGATGAAGTCAAGTGCGCGCTCAATCTGGCGTGCGCCCGCAGGTTAAAAGCCGGGGCGGAACGATTGCGTCCTCGGCACGACGAAAACTGCCTTATTTTCAGTGTCCCTAACTAGGGGAAACTAACGCATTTTTTTTTTTTTTTTTTTTTTTTTGTTTTTTGCTTTTTTGGCTCTGTTTCGTCCTTAGACACGCGGCCCTCCGTTGTCACGTAGCGTTCGTGGCGTGCCGGTGCGCGC